ACTTTTACTCACCAATTATACTTTTACTCACCAATTGTTTTTCTAGATAACTTTCTAATTCTTCAAGATAATTTTTGTAATTTAAATGTTGTCCTCTGGTAGATCTCCAAGACAGTCAAACTCCATATTGTCTTTTGATTCCATAACCCAGGTTGTTATAATACTGAGGGAACTTATCCTTGGACTTCTGTAGAACATCCTTACAGCTTTCCCTTTTGACAGTAGACTGTGACTTTATTTTCTTTATTTTGCTTTCCAGCAACTCTGGTTAGATCTGCGTTCATAAAGTAATTGTTTAATCTGAGCTGTGTTTGTCTTGCTTATAGGTATGTCCAGTGATAATCACACTTCAAGACAAAGACACTTGACTTACTGCTTTTTTATTACACTGCTGTCAAAAAAAAAGGTTTTAACATAACTTGTACATGGCAGTACTTGTGTCAGTTACTGTGTAAAGTATAAATGAATATAGTTTGAGTATTTGTTCCAAAATATTTCTGAGGATTTTTTACTAGGGTTGAAAATGATTGTGACACTGCTCAAGAAGATCTTGCTCTCTTTCTTCTTCCTTTTTGTTTTATTTAATAATAAACATTTCAGCTTGCCAATTCTCACTTGAACAACTGCTGTTACTGTTGAAACTACTTTTTAAATAATTTTATTTATATAAATTTATATATCATTTTAATAACTTTAATATTAGTGTAAGGTTAACACACCAGTTTTTGATATTTAAGAGTATAAGTCTTCGGGGTCCAGAGAACATGTGAATATCAGTTTTAGAAAATGTCGGTTCTAGCTCATTCTTCTCCTTTAGTAAGCAGAGATCTTTCTTTGTTGGTGATGTGAATGCAATTGCTTGTAGTTGCCATCACTAGGGAATACTGAAATGGAAACAGATACTGAACAGCTCATTACCAGTGTCATCAGCTGTCACTTGTTTTCTTCCATCTTCCATGACTAACATGTCCATTGTTCAGGGTGGGTTTTTGTTTTAATGCACTTGCTAGTGCAGTCTCTTCTTACTCCTGTCAACTACTGCTTATTTTGTTTTCCTCTCATGGTTCTATGTTTTCGTGTTACTGCTGCTTAATAATTATTAAACAATCTGTCCTGATTTCTATTAATTGCATGCTTTTCTCTTTTGAGATCATTGAAGAGCTCTTTGTTGTTCAGGTTGGTCCCTTTTCACACTTTCTATCCTTTCCATTGCTATAATTTGAGCTTGTTATCTTGATATTATTTGTTAGCTGCCAACTCCAGTGTACCCTGTTCAGCCCTTTTACTTTCCTCCCATGAAACCTTAATAAGCAATGTTAAAACAGGGGAAGTAGAGAGAAGATGAAGGAAATGAAGTTTTTTAAGTTGTGTTTAGGTGCTGTGGTGTCTAGGCAGCTTGGGATTGCTCTACTCTCAGTGTTAGAATCCAAGAGTGTGGAGCATTAAATATACATACTCTTTTCTCTCTTTTGCCTGTGTCCCATGTAGGAGCAACTATGAGGCAAGGAGTCTGTGCCAGTCTCTTCTGCCACTAGGTTTTGTTTGTTTTCAGTAAATCCATGCTTTTCTAGGAATAGCAAAAAGGACCTTAATAATAGCATAATACTGCACATTTATTGGCTCTTACTTCTCCCCAGGTAAGATTCACCCTGTAGCTTTTCTTTTGGAGCAGCTGTCAAGCCACACTTTCTCATGTCTTAGAGAGCAGTTAGTGTTTTGAATTGCATTCTATCTTTGTTAGTTTTGCATGGTGCTTTTTTGACTTCCTTTAGGTGAATTTCTAAGGGTTGTGTTATTCAGAGGACACTATTTCCCTGCAAAATCCTTTGTTAGTGATTATCCGTGAGAGAGCAGGAAACTAGCCTGGCCTGTAAGGAACACATTCTTAGCTAGAATCTAGTCTTCATGGAAATCTGTCAAATGATCTGGAATTGCATTAGTGATTGTTCTGACTTTATTTATTTGCTGGTTAGGCTTAGGGAAGGTACAGTTTTTATGATAAAAGGTGGATGTGTATTTTTCACTGTTGTGTCTTCTCTTCAGCATGCAGTTCAGAATGATTGAAATAGTAAAAGTTTTATGGGTTTCGTGCATCTATCGCTTTTTCTTTGTAATATTTCACATAACTATTTGTATCAGATCTTTCTTGTTTCATCTGTCACTATGTGCTGATTCCCTCTCTGAATATCTTCATTTTTACTGAGCCCTTTCTATTCAAAACATTGTATTCTTCACTGCCTCCTCTCTCCTGTCATTAGTTGCAAGCAACTCAGCTTCTGAAAGTGTCATTGGAAGGCCCCTTCTAGTTTTTAAATATTTCTGCTCAAAGCTCTTTGTTTCTGAAGGCTCCTTCTAATCACCTTGCTTCTCCAAGCTCCATTTTGTAGAAATATTCCACTCTAAAGTCTGGCTTTATAAATTGAAGCAATAAACCCCAAACAAATTCTTTTTTTCTTTTGCTTTCTATTCAAGTGATTGCTGAGTTCAATTGTGTCTGAATACTTCAAAGTTTCTTGGTGTCTTAATAATAGCAGAAAATAGTGCTTTCTTCAAATTTCAGACCTTCAGTCTCTTCTGGCAGTTGCATTAATGAAGTTTAAGCTGACAGCATAAAAGATGGACTTGGTTCCTTGTCCCAAGTGAGTCTACCTGGTTTTTAAAGCAAGAAATGTACCATGAAGTATGAATAGTGTTACATTAACCAACAATTGAATATACAAAAGTCTTCCTTGTCCTGATGCCTGATAAGATAAATTAATGCTCTGTATAAACTATTTAAGTCCTTATATAGACAGGTCTTCCATAATGAGCTAAGCATCAGATCAGTCTAAGTGAGGATATCCACAGAAATCCCTGTGAGAGACTGAAATGTTACTGGTTAGTGGCTCAAACAATTGGCCAGTTGGAAGGGTGCTTTGCTGAGGCCAGGTTTGTATCCCCAACCAAAGGGGAGGAGGAGAGAGAGGGTTTTCTGTGTGGTGGGAAACTTCTGACCTATAACACACCAAGAGGGTGCTATCCATCATCAGAGAATGGTGACCAGGACAAACCAACTTCTGTTCAGCAACAAGCTGGATTTTGAGCCAGATAAGGGAAAAGACTTGTGAGAAACAGTGATGTGTCATAAAACCACCAAAGACCCTTGAAGTGCCTCCAGACACATTTCTGGGGCCTTCTAGTAGAGGATGGTCTACAGACTTCTGGGGCCTTCTAGTAGAGGATGGTCTACAGTGTTGAAACAGAGAGTGGTTTAAAATGAATTGCTATCACTTTTGGAAGAATCAGTAAACACTGCTGACTTGAGAAAAATGTACTCCAGAGCCTTCACTGGAAAATGAAAAAGCTGCTAAGTCTTTCTAAAATAGACTGAAGTTCAGATGTTTCAAACAAAAAGTAATGAGCTACTGCTGTACACCAGAGCCTGTGTGTAACACTGTAGTATGTGAGGCTTGAGGAGTCCAATTTTGTCCTTAATGTTCAGATTTCTTTGTTTTTTGTGATTGGATTCTGGTGGCTGTGAAAATTAGCCAGGCTATTACAGGTTACATCATACTAAATGCAGTATTTAAGTGAAAGTGTGTGTGTTTTCAAAAGAAGGGTAAAAACATTATACAGGACACCCCTGACCTGAGAAAGGCAAGATAGTGGACATCTCTCTGAGCTCTCATGGAAACAGATCCATCATCTGACACATATCATCTGGGATGCAGATGTAGAGTCTCCCATGTAATTGAAGAACTCAGTGACTGGCAGCTGAAGGATAAGTGAATTTCCCTTTCACAAGACTCAAGATCTTGATATTTTTTCAAGCTTTCAGAATTTCAGTCTCAACATTTCTCTCTACTTCAGTAAAATCTAAAAATTGATGAATGTTTTTAACATAGAATTTGGAGAAGCTATGAACAGGAGAACAAACTCCACTGACCCTTTTTTAGTAACTTCCACTATCTTTCCTCTCAGAATTACATTTTGTCTTAGTCTTTGTCCTTTTGTGCTTGTGCCTTTCACATACTGGGTTTATGTGAAGCCAACAGTACTGAGGACAGATTCCTGCAGTCAGTGCTCCCATTACTGGACTTTATCAGGACAGCTCTGCTGCTTCAGATGCAAAGAAATTTTGCTCAATAAGAATGCCCACATGCTGCATATAAAGCAGCCAGGCTTTGACTGTACTCCTAGCT